CGAACTGGCTGCCGAGATAGGTCGATCTTCCACTCAGCAGTCGATATCTAGGTGTGGATATATCCGCCTATAAACATTCCAATTTATTGACATACTTAATTAAAAAAAAAAAACTAATTAATACGTACGATATGAGTTAAATATGTGTATTATTTCTGATATTCATACTTAGAAAACAGTAATACATATAAGTACATTAGACCGAACCACCTTGCAAGTAAACGAAAAAAAATCCGCCGTAAACCGTTGAGTTTAAAATATTTTTGCAAAGCAAATCCGAAAAAAAAATTTTTTTGGCCGAACCTACGGGTCTGTTTTTTTTTAAATTTTTCTACTGGAATAATCAAAAATCTTCCTTGGAAAGGTTAATAATTTTTGTAGAGCTTTAACACTAGATAGCCTGGAAAATCGACTTACCTTGAAAGACGGACGGGGGCCATTTGAGCCAACTACTTTAAAATAATTTTAATAACAAAAACTTATAGTTTTAATTTAAGAAGTGTTTATTCATGAAAAAAGAAATTTTAATTTTCATTTTCATATCCTTATTTCTTTCTAGATAGCCTGGAAAATCGACTTGCCATGAAAGAAAGGCAGGGGTCATTTGTCCTAAATACTTTAAAATTAATTTTATTAAAATCTATTTATACATTTTAAAAATATTATAAAATTTAAATTTTCATTTTGATTTTCTTAGTTTAGTAAAAAAAGAATTATAAAAATGTTTGCCAATATGCTCAAATGTTTAAGTTTGAACACATCAATAAAATAGGAAGGCTTTTATGTTAAATTTTATGCATTTTTAATAAAAGTCACGAAAAACCTATTTAGAAAAATAACTGGCAAAAGAAATATTGAGAGTCAAATATGAAAATAGGTCAAATTACCCTTGTCCATCTTTCCAGTGTTAAATTACTGACATTACGTCGGTACGTTAGGATGAGAAGAACTGAGATCTGGTGGATATGTACTAGAATGGCGTACTTGAGATCAATGAACTTTGGAACAAAAAAATAAATGTGTCCTCGAGACCAAAACATCGATATATCACACTTTAAGATCCGACTGTAAATATACGTACTTTGGACTCCGAGGTGTACAGTGAATTTTTTTTTTTTTGTGGTACGGTCCAATGTAAGTATGTACATAAGTATGTATATGTATGAAGCTTTATATACACACAATGCATATACTTAATACGTAAGTGTAAACATAACAAATAATTAAAAATGTTTGACACCTCAAAATGCCATTAGATACACAGTGGGCCGGAATGATTCTAGTGATTTTTTCCAACATTTTAACCCTCTTCGATCGACCAAATACCGTTTTATTCAGCCTTTCCAAAAAAGTAGCCTAAACGACCATTTCATGAGAGTGTTAATGGGTTAAAAGGGTTATACAAAATTATTTCTGGTTAAATTTTACTATATGTACCCAAACTATATACTTATTTCGCTCCAATATGGATTTTAACCCTTATTTCTACTTATTCTAAAAACACCCAGGCAAAAAATTTCAAACTTAATATGGCCATAAAAAAACTTGACCTGAGAACAGTGTTGCCAGGTTGGTCGATTTATCGCCAATCTGGCGATAGTTTTCCAGATTTTTCCCAAAGTAAAAATGATGTTAATGACTCTTTCGTCAATTATAAGAATTATTTCGCAAAAAATTGTGGGGGTTTTACTATATGGGTCTAGGTGGTTCATCCTCAGTTGGAATCATTCCGCCCCCAGGCTATGAAATTGTTGCACAGTGATATTTATTGAAACAACATCACATACTACACAAAATTTTCAAATCGTTCCAGCTCAAGTAAATTTAAAAATTTGTCCAAAATATTTTGGTGAAAGTCCTAAAATATAATCCGAACATTTTTATTCCGCCCATAGTAAATATATGGAAATCAAAATTGAAAATTTAACCGGTTCGGCGAAAATGAAACTCATGATAAGGCCAAATAATTTTTATAATCCCGTTTTTAAGGAGCCACAAACATAAAAATCGTTTGACTTTGAACAGCTCAACAGTTTATTTGAAGTTGATTGACAAATTGATGTGTGTATAACTCCTTTTAGAAGGCGGAGAGAAGGTGTAAAGAATCGACCACGAAAAGGTTATTGCTCCATAAAAGCAAAAAGTCGGGCTCCAGGAAGATCTTTCTCTTATTTTGACGACTGCGAGGACACTAATTTCGCTGAAAGGATTTTCTTCGAAAATGTGATTACATATACATATGTATGTTCATATATTGGCCATCTAGCACCGTAGTCAATGTACACGTTTAATAGCATTCAACCTTCTAAACTTAAAACTTAATTATTACATAAAACAGTGCCTTCTTAACGACGTTCCTATGTTAAGCCTTATGTGTCGTTTTAAGCACGAGTAACTGTATGTGATTTAAAGAATAAAAATTAAAACAAATCAAATTGAATACAGGTTTGAATGTGTGTAAATATGTTTATTTTTTTATTATTCACTTAATTATTTAGGCAATATGAGTTTACATAATAATAGCCACAAGTATATGTATGTATGTACATATGTATTTTAAGCACATGCATTTAATACATATGTGTCTATATATTAAGTTACGAATAACTATATGAAACTTAAAAACAAACTAATTTAAAAACAAAAATGAAAGGAATGTCTTCCGAGAATAGCAGGCACGTAGAAGCAATTTAATCGCTTCAAAAACTAAACTAGGAGTAACTAAACCTACATAAAACTTATTAAAGTACAATTTAAGTGATTGGACATCGCGTATGTATATATCGCATTAAATATATGTACATATGTATATATTAGGCTGGTCCTTAAAATATCAACATCTAATGTTGGAACACACCTTTAAATATATCCACGAAAATTTAAAAAAAAAATATGGGTCGCTGGACTTTAGATGCTAAAGAAACTTACATAGCCGTAATTAAAAATACATATTATATGTATGTGGGCATGCATATTGTACGCTTAAATGTATGTATATATATTAAGAAATAATTTGTAATCAAACTAATTTTAAATGAATGAGGTTTAAATATCTAATTATTGCAGGTTAAGTATTACTTAAAAAAAAATAAAAAATAAGTTAAAATTTGGCGTACAAAATTACGACATTTCATACATAATGATTTCGTTTAAGAGATTGGTTGCAAGTTGCGGCGATCAAAGAACAAACGAATTACACTTGAAAACAAAAAATTTGCAAATCTGCTAAATTCGAAAAAAGAACTTGAGGTCTTGAACCTTACACAAGTCTACCTTGCACCCCGAAAACTTTCAAAATGATACTGAAAAGAGAGCCGTTGGACAGTGGAAGATTTTTGATATTTTTTTAATACTTGAGACTGGTTTTAGAAAAGATTGTCCAAGCACGAATACAAAACAAATTATTTTGATCAGCATTTGGTGAAAGTCGGACAATTCCAAAACGCAAAACAAAAAAAAATATTTTTTTTTTCTTGGTTACAAATCTCACATTCTAAAGGTAAATGTTTTTGAAGTCGTTGAATTCCGTTCTGATGATAGAATCATGAAATTCAAAATGACCGATCAAATTTGGCCGATCCAATATGGCGGCTGCTATCCTTAACTCGTACCTTATACATTTTTCTGGATAAAGTGTGCCATATAATACTCTTAGTTTGATGTTTTTTTGTAATGTTCCAACCTATTTTAATTGGCTTAGACAATGTTTTCTAAAACCGGTTCTAAGTATTAAAAAAAAAGTTATTAAATTCGGCAAAAAATCTACTGTTCCAGCCATTTTTGAAGAAAATTAGTCGAAAATGTCCCACTGTTGGGCTGAAGAAACATACATATCAGCATACCACTCAGCATGTCCCCTCCGCTGCCTGAATGCTTCAAATATTCGGGATAGTTTAGGCAAAGTAGAGGTAACCCCAGGCAGATCGCACCGCAGACGGGACTGCAGATAACTTGTGGGACTGTTGACTGGTCACTTCTCGTTGCATAAAGACCTGACTGTGATAGGCATACATGACAACCCCATTTGCCATTTCAGCTTTGAAGAGGATAAGATAGCGGAATGCTTTTCATGCTCCGCCTTTACAAGAAATAGGCATACGGCTTTTATCAGCGATTTGTTGAGAGACGACACCTGAACTCTTTAACACCCAACAGTCTGCTCCGATTTATTCATAAATCGCGTAGATTTAAAATAGATTAAAATAAAATACGAAAACAGTAGTCTGAGTGCTGTTTTCTGCATGCTTAATTTACAAAAAAAAAAAACAAAAAAAGCCTCATTCACCAGACAATATTTTTTTTTTGTTTTGCGGGGCTGTTAAATATGTCAGATTATCTTTTTGAAATGTTTGTATTTGGGTTTTCTGACAAATATACAACTGCGGTTCTTTAGTAGTTACGTTTATTAAGGAGGCACTGTACCAGCAGTAACAAAAGTTGGGTTACAACTTTCTTTTTGCACCCAGGTGAAGATTAGCAACCAAATCTACTTGGAAATGCTTAACATATTTGGGAAGCCTAATGTAAAACCAAGTCTATTTAGTAATGTATCTCTAAACATAAGCTACTAGTGTGTGTATGTGTACAATTTTTCCTTTTTCCTGCTAAATAATATTACCTAATAATATACAATAATCATTTAAATGTATGTAAGTAATGAGTACAATGTAATTAAATGTAATCCTCTGTTCTAAGGTTGTATGTATGTATGTATGCCTTCATATATGACTAATTACTATGACAAGATGCCTGACTTGTTGTTGTACACTTATTCGTAACGATTACTTAAGTAATAAACTGGTAGATTTAATTATCAATACAGAACATTAAATTTTGTGAGATACATACGCACTTGAACTAAAGCGAAATTTGTTTGCGTTAATAATTTCTGCTTATAGTTTTATGTACTATTTCACGTTTATTGTTTTTGTTGTTGTTTTCATATGGAACTACAGCCTTATGTTTAAGGCAAAGTTCATGAGCCTACTTAGTATTTGCTGTTACAGTACTCGCGCCTAAACCATATCCACAGCACCGTCCGCTTCGTATGTGGGTATGGAAATTACATCACTGCTCTTCGGTAGAAAAGGCAACGCATTGCCTGCTGGTGCAACCGCAACATTTGTGGGTGATTTTGTTGTTGCAGTGATGTATTTGTGTGGTGGTTGTTGTTGCTGCTGTTGGCGTTGCGCACGCCTTTGTCGTTGCGCTGCTGCAGCTGCTGTGCTTCCTCCTGCTGCTGTCGATCTACTGCTACGCTCATGCAGCGTTGTCACATCCTCACCGTCCTCACTGCTGCTGCTCGACGAGACCTCTTCTTCGCTGTCTGTTGTTGTAGCAGTTGTCGCGACGCTCTTTTGTGTGGCTTTCATTTGTTTGAGTACTTCATCAGGATTACTTTCGAGTGTTGAATGTTGGCTGGATGGTGAGTGGCTATACTCCGATGTATTTTCCTCATCCGAGACGACAGTCACATTTCGCTTGTGGATGGGAATTTTCGGAATGATGGGTATTTTGTAGCAACGACGTGCACGCATGCCACGGCCAATTGGCAGACGACCAATGCTACGAATAGAGAGAGAGAGAGAAAATAGTACCTATTTTACCTTTGCATATCACCTCACTTACCTCCTTCTTCGTAGCCCATAGTGATAGTCAGTATCCTCGCCCTCCTCATCTGACCAACTATCATCGAAGAGATCTTCATTCGATTCACCATTTGCATTATGGTGCGCTTGCGCTTGCTCCTCAGGGCGCATCTTCTTCTCCGAGCTATGCTGCGGCTTTTGTTTTCGTCGTACACTGCTCGTTCTCGGCGTCGAGCGCTCCATCGAGCCTTCCCTTATCGTATCTTTCGTGGTCGTGCCAAAACTCTCGCCCGCCAGCTCATTACCATTGTCAGCTTGCAAGCGCGTTGCAGCCGACACTTCACCATGATTACTTAGGCCCGTTGTTGTAGTTTGTATGCTCAGTCGATTCTCGTTGATAAATTTTATCACCTTTTCGCCAAGACGCTCGAGGTGCTCATTCGAACTGCAATAATCGGGTATGTCAAGTCTTTCGTTGCTGTTGATTATATCGTCGAGCAGTTGATCGGGACTAGAGCATGCATCTTGGAAAGTCACATCTGAAGGTGTCATGGAGTTGCCATTCAGACTGGTTGGCGTCGCCGCCGCGGACACCTCTTCTACTGGCACCACATCGGTTTGTTGCTGTTGCTCCTTTACATTGTGTATTAGCTGCTGTGGTCGGGGCATAGCGATCTGTGGCTCTGCCAACTGGCGTTGATTTATGCGATCCATTGCATATAGAACTTCGTAAGATGGCAGCCCGCTGTCGTTTGCGAGCGTCATAGAGATATCGCGCATTGCACAGCAAGCACTTGGGCTAATGTCTGTCTCACTAATATCCATGGCATCGGTTTGAGTTTCGGTATCCACCAATTTGACGTTCTTACGATTTTCTGGCTCGCTCTGGTAGCGTCGGTCTCGACTTGGACTATACTTGGGCACAGCTGCAAAGCTACCCGAACCAACTCGTCGATGTCTGCTCTTCTTCGGCTTCTGTGTGGGCACGCAATATGATTTTGTCTGATTCAAGCTTATCACCTGCGCGTACAGCATAGCTTTAAGGGGACTCTGTGGATGATAATATATATGGACCCAAGTCAAAAAGGGTATTATATACTTTATATGAAAATTTTGAGATGAGTTGGTCTTTTAAGACGCAGGGCAGTGATTCACAAAACATCGCCCGCGGGCAGAAGTCTTTAAAATTTTCTGTATGGGTGCGCATAGAGTAAAAGCTCTCTCTGGTCGCCACTGATCTAGTGTCGTGCTTACTGAAATTTATGTCCTGCCAAACTTTTAATAAATGTACTTCGACATGTGGGCTACTTTTAACCAGCTCGCTCGGAGAAATGGAGGCTTATAGTATGGAGAGCTTTCTCCATCCCGAACATTCTACTTTCTTAAAAATGAAATATTGACGAATCCATCATCACTTCAAACGAGCGCTAGACTGCTCTAGTTTTCAAAGAAGGGTCCTACATAAATCTGAAGCGCATTTGTTTAAGCTCAAAAGTCATTTACTCATAAGCTTCTAGCATGGAGTGATCCTTTACGAGCATCCCTTTATCCAATTAGCTAGCACCCAAATGGGTTTTTTCCCGCTATGCAAATAATACATATGTAGCTGTGTAGACTTCAGAGGCATGCGGGTAGAGCTTTTTTAAACTCTCATAAATGCTCTATATTTACATCAGCATTTTTAAGTTTTTTTCTCACAGTGTAAAAGCTGTATTTGATCGTTCCTGATTTATACAGACGGGCGCAGGAAAAAAAATCTCTCTAGTCCAGCGTTAGGCAGAGAGAGCTTTTACTCTGCTCGCGCCTATACAAAATGTATAGAAACCTTAAAAGAGCTTTGCCCGCGGGCAAGGCAGTGCCTATCAGTGCTCTAGTCCATGCTAAATTTTTGAAATCAAATTCCATAGGCTTATAGAGTCACTTGAGATGTTTCTCACTATAATTATGGCTAATAAAAGAACTAACTTTGGGAAACTAGCTTCCCAAAACTTTTGTTTTACTTAAAAACAAAGTTGCTTTATGTTTCTAAAACCAACTTGATTTAGAAACAGCATCTCCTTTTACCTCTGGCGTAGTTTCGGGGTCTGGTGTCGTTGACGTCTGTTGTTGTTGTTGTTGAGGATTTCCTGATGTTACCAAAGGTGCATTAAGCCGTCTACGGTAATTTTGTATCTTTCGCAACGTACAGCCTAGTCGACGCGTTGGCTTGTAACCTGGTAGCTGTTTTTCGCGCCTGAAAATCGATACGTAAATTGCAAGATGCTCAAAATTACTGTTTCTAAAACCTACATAGCTATCTCTTTCTCCTTTTCCTGCAGCTGAGTCATGCATTCACTTAATTCTAAATACAGTCGATTTGTCTTCTCTAACTTATCTTCGTAGACCAGTCGTATATCTTGCGCATGCTGCCACTCGGCCGTGCGTCGTCTAATCAAATCCTGTTCATACTTATGTATGCTAGTGCCATTCTTTGTGATTTCCTTGAGATGTGAACGCACTTCCTCCTTCCACGACTGCTGCGCCTCGAAGTAGACTTTGTCGCTTTTACGCAGTAGCTCTGGACCGGCAATTTCCAAATGGGACAATATTTGCCCGAAGGAGGGACGATTGCGAGGTTTAGTGTGCCAACATAAATTAACCAATAACTTGAAACCCTCTGGGCAACTGGACGGTATCGGTAGTTTCAATGAATTATTGCCCACACCCCAAATAATGGCGGATGAGTCAACATCCTTGTAGGGTATCTCGCATGTTAACATCTCCCAGAGCACAATGCCATAGGACCAAATGTCGACCTTCTCCGAGCATGGTTCATTTCGTATCACCTCAGGTGCCATCCAGGGCACGGTGCCGGCGAAACTCATTTTCGTGCTGATCTCATTCCATTCTTTGCTTGTACCAAAATCGCTGATCTTCACTATCTCTTGTTGACCGATTAGTATGCTGGAGAGGGGGGGAGGGGAAGTAAATTTTGGATATAAATACGAGCGATTTGGTTTTTCAAAAAAGTTTCTACTCACTTGGGACTCTTCAAGTCACGATGTATGATTTTATGCGAGTGCAGATATTGCATGCCGAGCGCGATTTGCTTCGACCACGACACCAGGCGAGATGGCAACATCACTTTCTCCTCCTTTAGTATGTTTTGTAGTGGACCATAGGGGCAAAACTCCATAATTATACAATAGACGGGCGATTGTGTGCAAACACCCCTGTATAAATATTGAAATGCATGGCATTAGACAACATCACGTTTGTTTATCGATTCATTTACTCACTTAAACTTAATAATATTCTGATGATCCAACTTTCTTAAATGCTTAATATCTGTTTCCTTCAGTTCTTTCACCTTCTTCACGGCAACAATTTCGTTATTCAGTTTTCCACTGAAAACCGCTCCTTGTGCACCGCTTCCCAGCCACTCCAGCCCAGTGATGCATTCAAATGGTATTTCCCAGGCGTAATCTTTTGGATCTTTGACCTCGATAACGCCAGTCTTGGTCATAAAGGAGAGTATCGGTTTCATACAACCCAGTAGACTTGTCATCACACCGATACCCTTGTCGCGATAGCCATGTGTGGGCGTCCATCGATGTTGGCAGGTATTGTCGGAACTACTGTCTGTCACGTTGATGTTTACGTTATTCGCTTGCGGTCGTTGCTGAAAGTCGATGTCTGTTGCGAATGAGAGATTGCCCGCGCCTAATTTCATTTGTTCCAATCCATCTTGAATGCAGGCCATGCTGGAATAGAGAGCACCAACGATTTTGTTATTACTTCATTTCTTTAATTACACATATAAATATTTTTAAATATGTAAGTATGTACATCCATACTAATTATATAAATTTGATTACTTGGGGAATGTTTGTAACGCTTTGGCCAAAAAAATACTGATGACTGATTTAAAAAATGTTTGCTCTAAAACGATGCTTTTACGAAGAAAAATTTGACGGCAGACTTATTTTTTGCCTCAAGAGGGGCGCTAGAGTCGAGATATTAAGATAATTTTTATTTATGAACCGTTTTGTTTCAAAGTTAATGCGTATATTAACCGCACGGTAAGAAATAACTTTGCAAAGACTTGACTGGCAAGGTGGCGCTGGAGCCATGCAGATAGCCAAGATACATCAACAAGTTATAGGAGTATGAAAAAGAAGTGTCTACTATCCAAGAGGCAGCATGTACTCTCGCTCACAGTAAGTCTCAGTCAGGCAGCCCTGAAAGTTTTACACTCACACATATAGCTATAATGCAAATACCCTTATTGTTATCTGGACTATGATTTATAGAATCCAATTAATTTATGTATGTAGATGCTTGGACGACTGGATATTGAGTGGAATTACAAAAGTGACGATGTAGCAAAGAAAGATCCTTCCAAGAATGAATACTATAAGTTCATATGTCACTGTCCTTAATTGAACGATATTTATGAGATCACATAGCTCAACTCTCTCTTCCTTCGTCCAGTGCAACAGCGAGGATTATTTTCGTTACTAATTTCCCTTTAATTAGAATTTGTACGCAAAGCTCAAAAATGGCCTTTGGTGTAAAGCCGGGTATTTTTTCGAACTAAGAGATTCATTTCAAGTTTTTCCAAACTCAGGTCTTTGCTATCAAAAAATTCCGAGTAGTCTTCGCTACAGAACGATCCTCGTTAAATATCTATTGATTCTGTGATTTTTTATGACTTCCGGCCTTAGAACTCAGGGCAACAATATGGCAGAGGACCTATGCCGCAATGGCTTGATTTAAATACCTCCATGTCATAAGTAGACGTTGTTTATTTAGGAACGACCATTAATACCAACAATAATGTCAGCCTTGAAATCCAACGAGAATCGCTCTTGCCAACAAGTGCTACTTGGACTCAGTAGGTCGCCTCTCTCTACGCACGAAAACCACACTATATAAGTACCTCATCATGGACAATGAAAACCTCTGATGGGGCGACTCTTTGAACTGGTAACAGTGGAAGAGGAAGACATTCTCTGTATTGGAAAGACCACGTGGAGAAGGGCATGGCTTCGCATGGCATTTCCAATTGGCGTCAGTTGGCGCAAGAGCAAATCGCTAACGCGTTTACCGCGTGAATAAAAAAGAAGATGTCATAATACATAAGCCATATAGCCAGATTTCTGAACACTGTTAAACGTGGCTAAATGGCTAATGGATAGCGGCTAAAAAGAGACTGGCTCACACGACTCTAACGCCGCTGTAACTATGCGGAAGCGGAAGAAATCCTAAAGCATCTTTATGAAACGAATGAAGAATGAAGTGGCTGAGAAATAGTTTTTTTCGTCTAACAGAATCTAGCATAACATAAGAATATACCTACTTGGATTTCAGAACAATACGGGTTGGATCAACTAATTTCATTCATTCGGGTTTTTTTCATTGTCCGTTTAGGATTAGTCTGCCAGCTATTTCGTTTTCATAAATGATGCCTTTGCCCGGCACCCAGAACCAGTGTTGCCGTTCAGGCGCGGCGAAACGCCCTGTGCCCGGGTGGGTGTTTCTGCTAGTGGCAAGAGTATACAGGTAAAAAAAAAATTGTTTGCCGATCTAATTGAGAAGGTTAACAGATTTCGTTAGAAAAACTTATTGTTTCGTGTATAATACATTTATTTTTCATACATACCATGTACATTAGGGTGGTCCAAAAACAGTAAAGTCGGAATTGTAATGCTCTCACCCCCTAGGATTGTTCTACATCGAAAAAAGTATATGCCTATTTTTTTATTTTGAGATCAAAAAATATTTAGAGGTCGCTCAAAGCGCTCAAAGTTTACCATGTATTTTTATTTGGGGAAAAAACAAATTTTCGTAGAAATGGTATATAATTCTTGATAATCAATATTTTTCAATCGGAAAACTCTGGTTCTCTTCAGGAGACTTTCAATAATAATACCCAACTATTTATTTAAACATTTTTTAATACTAACGATTTGTTATTTGTCCCTCCATTGCATTTTTCGGGGTTTTTGTGGGTTTTTTGCGGGCCTATAAATTATAGTTGCGATGAAAAAATGGTTAAATAAACAATTGGGTATTATTATTGCGAATCTTCTGCAGATGAAAATAATTCCATACGAAAAGTTGTTTTTTCCCCATATAAAATACATGGAAATTATCATTTTCAAAATTTTATTTCTGAAGTGAAAGCACGACCATGCGTTTTGAATTTTGAGGAATGAAGTCGTCATGAGTTCATGGATAAGAATGCATTGTCGAGTACAAATCATTTTTCACCTTACGCAAAACAGAAAAGCTCCTCTCGTTCGAGTATGAAGACCCTGGAGTTGTAACAAGTAATCTAATGAAGCGTGCCAATTCAGGAACAAGTCCCACACACAATTTCACGCAAAAATTGTACAACATCTTTCACGGACCCTTGGATTTTGCTATGCACGCCTCATTATGCACAGAGCCATATCTTTATCGCTATTGAGTTTGCATTCGTCAAAATCACCATTATAAAACGTGACATTTTCTTCAAATTTACTGTCTCACCAATAATGAACTTTTCTAAAGTTTTATAAAACGTTGCCGATTCAGTAACAAATCTACTGGAGCAATTAACTTTGGTAAAAAATTTCATAATATATCTTCCGAAAATACTCTTCAGGTGTGGTTAAAACAGGATTTTCAATTGGACTTATTTTTCTTCTAAAAAATTTTCACGTGGGTAATTAACTACCTTTAAAAATCTTAGGTGGGTAGTACTACCCACCATACCCACGTCTTCCGCCGCCCTGTTGCCGTTTTAATTCACTTACTTGAAAAGTGATACTTGTTTGTGCAAATTTTCGGAAGATACTTTATTTTTTCGCTCATTTCGCGAGATACTGCAATTTTCCGCGTAGTATCTACAAATTTTGATACATAACAAAGAGTGGCAGCTTTTAAAATTTGATCGAAAATATTGAAACGATTTGGGGTCAAATAAGCTTAAAGAAAATGCTTTAAATGAACTATGTATAATGAACTGATTGCATTGATTTTTTATTTTATTTTTTATTAGGGTTGCCACATGTTTAAAAAGTTAAATTCAAGTTATTTAATAAGTTAAATAAATCATTACAATATGGGTATCAATCGAAATTGTTTTGAAAAGGCTTTATTTCTAAACTAGATGAATGAGGGTTGCCACCTGTCAAAAAATCCAATTCAATTGGTGTCAGACGAAAGTGGGTTAAGAAGGTTTTAGTTTGAAAATATTTTGAAGGGGGTTAAAAGAGCAAAATGTGAAAATCTCCTATGCTTTTGACTAAGTTGAGTTTTATTGAAATAAATTACACTTATAGCCAGTTTCACGAAAGAAATTAAAGTGAAAAATGATTTTTTTGTTTGAATTTAATGCGGAAACTGACACAAAAAAATTATTTTGACTTAAATAGGCAGTTAATGTTACACGCAGAAATTTTATACACTTAGCGAAGCGGGAGAGGGCAAACTAGTTTTCGTAAAAGAAAATTTAATCGTAAAGAAAATTTTATGAATTTGTTTATTAGTTTTGGAAAACGACTAAGTAGTTTTGACGAAAAGAGAAACCGCACTTTTCGTCTTCAAATGCCCTAAACATGCACAGACGTACATATATCCATGCTTATTTCGTACTTGTTCGCAAATTAATTAACATGGCCATACTAAACACAGATGTCAGTATTTATATATATACATTGTATGTACACTAGGGTGGTCCAAAAATGCATGTGAAAAAGTATATTCGGAATTTGTATGCGTTTTGAGCGACCTCTAAATATATTTTGATTTCAATATATACATTTTTTCGATACAGAACACTCCTAGGGAGTGAAAGCATTAAAATTCCGACTGTACCTACTCATTTTGGATCAGCCTAATGTATACATGTATGTATGTAGTACATTCTAAAATGCGTAAATTGTTTTTGATTGCATAGGTGCTGGAAAATACATATCATATATATAAATAGGCAATCATGTTTCCTTTACACCCCTTTTACAGCTAAACTATACTTCTAAGGTATAAACAGTTATATATCATTAGAAAGGTATTTTGATGCTGATGTGCAGGCAATTTTTAAAACTTCAAATCAGTTTAAAATAGAGCGAAAAAATCAATTCAAAAGTCACACCAATACCAATGCACACATGTACATGGTTGGGGCGGAAATGCCCCCCTAAATGTATGCTTTAATATTGATAGCGAATTAAAGAAACGTGCTAAGCAGCAGTT